TGTGGCCTCGCTCTGCAGCGGGTCCCCGGCGGGGTGAAGCACGATGCAGCCAGCAACGGGCAGGGGAAGAGTGAGAGCTTCGTGCCGGGCTGCGTCTCCTGCCGGTCCTCCAGCCCTTTTTCAAAGCACCCTCAAAACCCCGCAGCTCTTCTCACGGGCTCCTTCCCAGCAGGACGCAGCGAGCTTGGGGGAAAACACCGAGCCGCTGGGGTCTTGCGCCAGGAGGAGGGGGGTCCCCTCCGCTGTTTGGGGAGCCAGCCAGCTGCTAGCAGCCAGGCGCTGGGGCTGCCCAGGCGTCAGAGCGGTGCGCCCGGTGCTGCACGTTTCCCTTCGAAGGGCTGAACCTCTCCATCCCCCCACCACCACCACCGCCACCATATCCACTGCTGGTCATGAGCACTGCATGGCTCATTTGAGCGTCTGCCTCCAGCTCCAGGCACCAAGACCTGAGCCCGGTCTTGGTCCATCTGCCCGCAGTGGATCCTACTGGGTTTGTGAACGGGACAGGTCACGGACCAATGTGGAGAACGGGAAAGGGAGCAGCCAATGCAGGCATAATATCGATAGCAAATATTAATCCTTCATTATTGCCTGCTTAATATCACGGCTGCTGATTCAGCGCATCGCTTCATCTGGCTGCGTTCGGCTTCCCCAGACTTATTCCTTGTTCCTGCCCCCCGGTGCCGGCGCCTCGGGGCCGCGCGAGGTCCGGGTGTCTCAGCCCGGGACCTCCAGCAAGCAGGTTTAGCAGTGCTCAGCTGTCCTGGGAAGCTGCATCTCCTTCTTCTTGGGTAGCTCCTTCCAAACTCAAACATAAAATTTCCCCAAAGTCAGTTTGCATTTTCTGGATGAGAAACAGCTCTGCCTTTTGGAAGACCTGTTGGTCAAACGCACACAAAGCTCCAAGAAATCTCAGCTCTGGGGAACACGCCGCCGGCGCCAAAGACATCACATCTCTGCCTCCTACAGCAGTATTATTTCCTCTTTTTACACATTGCACCTCCCTAAAAAAAAAAAAAAATCTTTGCTTTCTCCTCCTTTTGCCGTTGCTGGATGCAAACCGTTTCGTCTGCTCTGCCGGACCTGCAGGGCAGCCAAACCTCCAGCATGCCCCGGAGCAAGCGCCCCGCGCTCGTCCTTGTCCCAGCACGGCGAGGAGCCCCAGCTCCAAGTTGCAAAATAAATGAAATGTTCCTGGTAGGGAGGGAAAAAAAACAGGTTGTGAGCCTTTCTCCTCCTTTTGCCGTTGCTGGATGCAAACCGTTTCGTCTGCTCTGCCGGACCTGCAGGGCAGCCAAACCTCCAGCATGCCCCGGAGCAAGCGCCCCGCGCTCGTCCTTGTCCCAGCACGGCGAGGAGCCCCAGCTCCAAGTTGCAAAATAAATGAAATGTTCCTGGTAGGGAGGGAAAAAAAACAGGTTGTGAGCTGGGAAGGAGGTAACTGTTACCTCCTGGCACGTGGGCAGGTCCCCAAGGGAAGCTGCC